AAAAAAGGTAAGTTTTAATAAAAATAGGGATAATTTTTTATTAAATAAAATATATGGCCCAAATTTATTAAATATTCTGTTATACCCACGAAATATATAACATTTAACTACTTTTAAAATAAAATATATTTTTACAACGATTAAAATTCGTAAAGGAAGCTTTGCATTCTACTTATAAGTTTGTCCGTTCCTTACATGGTCAATATAAAATAATATTGATCTAGTTTTTAATTATAATAAGAATGAATATAAAATACATACATCTTAATTAATGTATGTAAAAATTTACAAAGAAGTTACATATATTAAAACGTATGCCCTAGAAAGTGTGTCTCAAGGAATAGAGTAGATAAAAAAAAAATAGCTTCTTCTTGAATTCTATTTTATATATATGTAAAATGATACAATTAGATTAACATTAGTGATGAATTTTTTTTTAATTTATTTAGAGAAATAGTTTTATTTAAAATTTTTTTCTTTTGAACATAAGAACAATTTTTCCTAGAAATGTGTTTATGGCGTATTATACTTAATGAAATATATATAATTTTTTTAGTTTATTATTATATAGTATATATATGTAATAAAGCTTTTAATTTGATGTGATACTTTAATATTATTTAATTAAATATTAATTTAGTATTAAAAATAAATAATTAGTATATAAATTAAATTATAAATTATAATAACACATATTAGTATAATAAAATTCGTTTTCAAAAAATAATTAAATAGAAATTTCTTTACATACTTTTTATTAATTTGATTTTTTAAAATATTGTAAAATTATTAAAACATATAACCACTAAATCAATAATCTAGCATAGTCTTTGAGTAATCAAATAATAAACCATACAATGGACAATCATACGAATAAAAGGTATATAGAACAATCTCTACTAATTTTATCTACTGTAAAATTATTTATTATAGATAATATATAACTCCTATGAAATTATACTACATAACTTGAAATAATCAAGTTATTTTATGCAATATTTATAATTAGATTGAGTTATGTTAATTAATTATTTTATTACTACTAATACATTAAGTAATTCCTAAAAAATATATATAACTTAATAAAAATTCTTACTTATTTTTATAAAAATTTAATTATTTATTATATATATATATTTGGTAATATTATATATATATTATTTTTCATCAATAATTAAGAATCGTAATTGATAATGTTCTATCATATTTTATCAACTATTTATTTATTAATTAATCGATAATAAAAAAATTTATTCAAATAAAGAAAATTTTATTTTTTTTTATAGAGTAATTACAACTAAATTTTTTATTCTATTATATTTCATCCTATTGAGCACATAAAAAAGTATTTAATATTATTTTTTGATCAAGTACAAATACTAAATAAAAAGTTTTATTTTGTGACATTATATTGACAATTCTTTTGAAAAAAAAATGGATTAATGAATAAATTAATGTAAACAGTATTTTTATTATTGAGAAGAATTTATTTTAATTAAATGCAATATTAATATTAAGTACATTGTTCATATGCTTTTATTATTTAAATTTTAATAAAATAATTGAAAATTTTTATTAAAATAAATGAACATTTAAATTAGTTATAATGCATTAAAGATATTAAATATATTGAGTTAATATACTTTTATTTGGATACTTATAAATAACATATGAAATAATTTGTATTATGCATAATGATTATATAAATAATACTTATTTGTTGTGAGAATTATTTATATAAGAGAAATAAGTAAAATTCACCTTAATGCTCTTTGTTAATTCACTATTAATTATCCTACAAAATGAATTGAACAGACAATTAATAAATCATTATGAAATAAGTTTCTAGTTAAATTAATGAAGTATTTTTTAAGCACCTTGCTTGAATAGACAATTCTTTATTTTTCAAAATTTCGATAACTTAGATAAATGAAAAGATTAATAATACTAATTTATTAGCTGAATGTTCAATGATTTCATTAGTATAGAACAGATATATCATTTAAAGGAATGTAGAGTTATCTTTATTTTATATTTTGTAATATTAATTATTATGATAGATTGTTAACCACTGATTTATTAATTACCTGTTCAATGACTTTATTAGTATTAAACAAACAAAATAATAAAGAGTATGTGGAGAAAATTCTCCTTATGATATTTTAATTAATATAAAATACTAAGCAAATCATTTACTTTTGTTAATTAATATAGAATATTAATTACATTAGTTAGTTACTATTTAAGTTAATTTACACAATGCTCTATATGTATAATATTTAACATTATATTTTTAGTCTTTCATGTAAAAAAAAAAAATAATCTATATCATCCACTCCAGAAAAAAAAAAAATCACTTTTTTTTTATGATGCCATTTTTTTTTAAAAAAAAAATAAAGCCGTTATAATAAATTTTTTTAAGTTAGCACCATATTCATAAAAAAAATAATTAAATATTTTTTTTTCTTCTGTATAAGTACATACACACCAAAAAAAATAAATATAATTATGTATATCTATATATTTTTTTCTCGTATATTTATTTTTAGTGCAATTGTTATTTTTTTTTTATTATACGTATTTAGATGTGCATATTTTCGAATTTTTTCTTTTTCAGCATTCACTAATAAAAACTTTTTTTACTTATTTATCTAAATATCATTTAGGATAATCAATAATACTATTTATAGGTTATACATAATACATATTTTATTCGTTATTTACCACTTTCGGTAATTTAAATAACTGTTTAATAAAGGGAATTATTAATCTTTTTTGAGAATAAAAATAACTAGATATATGGAAAATATGCAGTTCGCCATGCTTGAGATAGATAAATAAAAAAAAAAAATTATTAATTTTTTTTTTCTTATTATTAAGGATATGCGTAAAAAAAATATATTTGTTTTTTTAAATAAATATTTAATAGTTGGAAAAATAATATTCGAAAAATATGAAAAATAATTTGTTGACGAGAGAGCTTCTTTGTAATGAATTTTTAATTTGAGTTTAAGTGAAATTTTAATATACATAATAATGAAATTCTCATGTTTTCAATCCTTACATAATTTAATTTGTATTTCATTATGTATGTCAACTCGGAAGAAAATTGCTTGAGTTTCTAAACATTATACATAACATTATATGATATATTTCATTAAAAACCAATATTCAACAAGGATTTAAATATTTAATATAAATAATGATTTTTATTAAAGTAAATAAATGTCTCTTGAAAATAAAGAGTGTTCAACGAAGTAGCCTATATAAATACAGTTTACTTATTTTATATTATATAAAATTATATATAAATTCATTAAATTAGTAGAGATAGCTCTACAAGCTCTTTATTGATATGTTTAGCACTCTAACAAAGCCACCGAACAGCCATTGTATAAATCAGTAATACACTATTAATATAAATCATTGAAATTTACATTTTTAATATGCGTCAAATAACACTAATTAAGTCCCAAAAAATTATTAATTCCTATTCAGGAAAAAAAAAAGAAAATTAAATAAAAGTATTATTTACTTAAATATTTTTTTTTCTTACAAAATTCTCTTTTTTGCAGGTATTAAACAAAAAAAAAAATATATTTTTTGTTTTTTTTTTTTTTTAGTATACACATATTTTTTTGAATTCATACATTCTAGTGAAAGTATTTTAATTTTTGAATTTTCCAGTCAAGAATTAAGCACACAAAAACTCATTTATTTAATTTTAGTTTTTAATACTATTTAAAATAGATAGATATCATTTATTGATCAAATACTTACTGTTGATCATTAGTAAAGAAGTGTAAAAAATAATTTTTCTATTATTTGAAATATTTAATTCATATAAAAAAGACAAACATAAGATGATAATAAAGTTAAAAGTTCCAGAAATTTTTAGTGTTCTTTAATACAGTATTTTCTTTATTTTAACACGAACTTTAATCATTTTTTGGTAGATGGAAAAATTATTTATTTATATATATAAAAAATAAATTAACTAAAAATATGAAGGAATAATATTAAAAAAAAAAAAAAATTTAATATTAGGAATAAGAATTATTTAACTTAATTTGAAAAATATTTCTATGCGTTACAAATTATTTTTATGTTTTAAGAAATTTTTTTTTTTTATTTAAAAGAAAATTTATTTTAAATATATTTTCTAATAAAGTACATGAACAAAAAAAAAAAAGAAATATTACAATGTAGGATTTAATATAATAAAGAATTTGTTAAAATTATGATTCAAATTAGAAATGTTTTCTTAAAATGAAAAATTCAAATAAAAGTTAAAATACAAATTTTCTTATGATTCATAAAAATTGTAATTCATATCTACTTAGGCATATATTTTAAATTTATCAAATATATGAATTAATAGAATAATTAAACTTATAATTTCATATGTATAAATTATAAAAAATTATGCATATATACAATGAAAAGCATAATTCTTATATTAAAAAAAATTAAGTATTATTTTGTTATTTATTTTTTTTCTTACATAACATATTCAAAATATAAATATATTCAAAAAAAAATACTTTTTTTACAATATTAAAGTAACATTAAATAAAATAACAAAAAAAAAAAAAAACCAAAAAAATTGATAAAATATTAAAAATTTTACTATAAATATTCTATAAAAAAGAATTATTCATATTTATATATGCAAAAAAAAATAAACGAGGTAATTCTATAAAACAGACTTATAAAATATCAATATATTTATAAATGTTCTTTTTTCTTTTAATAAGTTTCAATTACATATATTTGTATATTTATTACTTAAAGTGCCTTTTTCATCTTCTTTTTTTTTTTTTAATAGGTAGAGCTCGAATTACTCCATTATTCTGTTTTACAAAATTTTTTTTTTATATTAATCATAATTGTAATTCTTTATAATTTTCTTATATTCTCCTAAATTTTTTGTTCTCTATCATTAATCTTTTATTTTTGCGGCTTTTTAATTCTTAAAGTTCGTATTTCTCTACATTTTTTTAATTTTCCTTTTTTATTTTTTGAATTTGTGTTTTATACTTTTTTAGATATTTTTTGAATATTTTATCACTTTTTTTCTGTTGACCATGAGTAGCATTTTGTTTCTTGTATTCATTCCAATCTTTTAAAGCCTTTTCCAAGAAAATCTTCCATTCTTTTATTATATGTTTACAAAATCGTTTGAACGAATTTTTATTTTTTCTAATAAAAAGATCGATTTTATTGGAATTAGGATTTTTATTTTTAAACTTTGTTAAATCTCTTTCATTTTTTTCTTCTCTTTTTAGAATCATTTTGTTTCTTAGTTCCCTCCAAGTGTTCCATCTTTCAGTTTCCCATTTATAATGTATATTATTCATAATACATATCTTTTTCCAATTCCAAAATAATTTCTTATCAATTTCATATAGACATCTTCTATTTTCATTATATTCCTTCTTCCATTCTCTATCTATAATTATAGAATATTCTTCATTTTTAGAATTATTTATTTCTGAGTGTTCATATTCTATTAAAGTTCTTGAATGGAAATTATCATGTTGCAATTTTACGGGTAATTCATTTCTTAATTTTGAAACACACTAAAGTATAATTAAAAATTAAATACTTAATATATTCTTTTAAATTAATAAAATTTTATTTGAAATAAATATCATGAAAGTAAAAGAAATAATTATATTGCTTAATGTAAATTTCATATTACTTGTAACAAAATATATAAAAGTACAAGAAATAACATTTTTTAAATTATAGATAACATAGATATTATTTAATTTTGTTTTTTTTTTTTTTGCTCTTCGTTTTTAATTCTCAATAAATAGCATAATCCTTTATAATTGTACTATAACATCATAAGCAATTTTTAAATAAATTGCTTTTTCGTACACTATGAGATCTGATGTGTAAATGCTATATTATTAAAATCAGTCTAATTCTTAAATTGAATTTTTAATTTGTTTTTATGTTTACACTCGTATTTATAATTATTATAAACATTTCTTATCTAGAAAAAATATAACAATATGTAAAAATTATAATAAAATATTATGTAGATCTAAAGGTACAAATAATTTCATAAAATTTTCATTTAAATTTTGTTTTATTAAAAACTCAATAAAATTAAATGCATAGCTAAAATTGCTAGCCTTTAACAATGAACATTAATAAGTGGGCCTCCTTTGAATAACGTGTTTTAGCAAAAAAAGTTCAATACTGAATGGATTACATTTTTTAATTAAAACCTTATTTATATATATATATATTAAAAATTTTTTCCGATTATTTCACCTTTTTTTTTTTTTAATGAAATAAATATAATCAAACTTTTCACATATTTCTTAATATTTTTTCATTACAATTATATAAAACATAAAAAATGTGGTAAGTTTTTTATTTAAAAAAATTTATTGGAAAAAAAAAGATTAAATCGTAATTTTATTATGTTGATATAGTTTTTTTCTCTAAATAGTCAAAATTTTTTACACTTTGAATTATTAGTACATTTTGAGAATTTTATTTTAACTATCTTTTATAAATATTTTTTAACAATATTTTTATTAAATTTTTTTTTATAATATTTTCCTATATTAAAATACTCAATTACTCCTTATGAAATTTATTTTATTTTTCATTATTCTAATTTTTTAATGTATTAAATTATCATTTTTGAGTCATACTTTAGTTATTTCAACACATATACATATTTTTTTAATCGAGTTTTATTTATGAAAAATTATAAAAAAATGAAAATAGAAAATTATCATAAATATATAAATTACACGAAAAAGTGTGTAAATTACATTAGAAAAAAAAAAAAAAAAAAAATAATAATTATATACAATGTAATAAAATTAAATTAATAACGTTCAAAGTTCAAATTAAAAAATTAAAAAAGAGATAACAGCTAATTTTTTTTTTTATTTATTTTACAATAAAGAAAAATAAATATTATAAGAAAATATAAAATTTTCCTTTTTATTTTTATTATTTTTACTTTTATCTTTCATTCGCACTTTTTTATTACTCCAATTATTTAAATTAATATTTATTAAGTTTATAAATACTTTTTTTTAAATTTATATATTTTATTTAAATAACATAGTAAGCATATATTTTATAAAACATTATTTTTTAAAAAAAATTTTATATAAATAATTTCTTCATTGTATATAATTAACAAAATTTGTTTTCTATCTATGAAATTGCATTAATAAATTTTTTTTCAAATATAATTTTTATATGGTTAGTTTACAGGATCATAATTTATATCCATTTCATTTTTATTTTTATCTTTATTCCCATTTATTTTTTTTAAAGTATAACATAACACACAGTATATAATATACAAAATCTTTTAATAAAGATATACCAAAATTATTTAAATCATCTTTATAACCATTTATTTTTTAATTTTAGATTTTTGAATATGATGATTATAAAGCTTCTTTTAATTGTTTCTTTTTTATAGCTTTTTTTACCTTTTAATTGCAGGTTTCTTATTTAATTTTACATATTATCTTTCATCTTTGATATTTCTATTTCATTTTATATAATTTATTTTTTATTTTTTCAATTCAACTCTTAAAAACTTTACCCTTTTTTCAAGTTCACTATTTTTTTTTATTTATTATAATATTCTTATATCTTTATTTTTTTTACTTAAATTAGTTTCTTATTTGACATTTCTTGTTCATATAATAATTCTTCTTTTTTTTTTTTTTTTTTGATATTGATGTTTTAAGAAACTAATTATTCTTTTACATTTCCTATTCATTATATCTCTATTCACATACTATACTTCAAATTCATTTTTTTTGTATCCCTCATTGGTTTATGTTCAACTTTAATATTCATTACTCTCCATATTTTCTATAGTTTTTTCTTTTATTTTTCACGATTTTATTTCCTTCTTTTGTATGTTCTTCTTTATAATGCTATGTAATAATCTTTTAAGATAACTTTTTCTATATTTTATATATCATTTTTAATGTATCTAAAATAAAAGTTTTTTTTTATTATCTCTTTTTATTATTTTTTGTTTTTCTATTTTTCTTAAATGTATTTTTTCTTCAATTTTTAAAATTTCATTTTTATTTATATTAGACCTATTTTTATTCCTACACATTCATCATTTTTGCAACACTTTTTTTTTCTTCTAATTTTATATTTCTTCCTATCTTAATTTATTAAATGGTAATAAAACATTTCTGTAATTTTTTTAACAATCAAATTAATAAGTAGTATGTAGAAAAAATCTCTACCCATTTAATTTATTATATATTAATGATTTTAAAAATTATAATTAATTCTTTATTAACTACACTAAATAATTTAAAACATAATTTATTTTATATTAAAATAAATTTATTTATTATTCTTATATAGTTTTTCATTTATTTATTACTAAATATCAATTTTATTATTTATCTTCATTTAGTTAATAACCATATTACATATAAATTATTATCTTCCCTATGTATAAATTATATTAATGAATATAATTCAGTGCAGGTATTTTGAGATTTATACTCTTTAGTTTATGCATTTAATGAACTTATTTTCTTCTAATACTCTACATGGAAAAAAAAGCCTTAAACAACTTTGTAAGCCATCTTATTAAAAATATAAATACGAAGATATTACTATATATTTACCATCTCTCTTAAGTTTATTTATTGAGTCTTTATAATATTTTTTTATCTTATTTGTTAGTCTGATTTCAAAAAAAGCATCTTTCCTTAATTATAATCTCTCTTTTTTGCACTCATCACTATAACATGTACCTCCAACGTAAGCAGTTACTTTAAATTCTTCTTTATTACCATTATATTGTTACTTTTATACATCTCTAGATTTGCTTATTTTATGTTTTAATTTTTTTTGTTTTTTCTTTTTTTCTTTTTTTATGTTATTTATTTATTTTTTTTATGAATATTTCTTTTTCCTTTACCTTTCCTTATATATTTTTAATAAATTTTTCTTTTATATACTTTTTTTTCTTTTATTTGTTCATATTCTCTTAGAATATATTTCTTTTTAAATGTATTTTAAGGCACTTTTTTTATTTTTCTAAGATGTATATATATTCATGAAAATCTTTTCGCCATCCTTTTCATAATTTATATATTTATTTTCTTTATTCTCCCATTTCATCAGCAAATAAAAATATCATATCACTTTATTCTATTTGTCTTTTGCCCATTTCTTCTTCTATGATATAAATTTCTCTTTATATTTCCTCTTTTCTACTATCTTTGCTTATTTACATTATTTTTTTCTATATTTTTAATTTTTTCAAGAACATTTTAAACATTTTTTCATTGTTCACTATTCATTTATTCTTTCTATATTTAGAGAATAATATATAAGAATGTTAAATTATATTTTTAATAAAAAAAAATAAATTTCATATATTTTGAAGTCTATAAATTAGTCTAAACATAAAACTGCTTTCATAATACCAGTATATTTTAAATATTAAAAACTTTAAAAAATAAAAAATATTAATATGAGCATAATATAAAATATATAGATATACTTAAGGTTTTTCTACAAAGCTATTAAAAAACACATTGTAACAAGTTTAATTATTATGATAATGAAATGTAACTAAAAACTTATAGTAACTAAATAATAATTTTATAATCCTAAATTAATATTAAAAATTCAATTATAAAATAATTAAACGATATTATAATTTTGTACATTAATATATTACTGTAAGTTATGATTAAAACATAGAAATAAAAGGAAGAAGCTTTTAGTCTACAAATGCTATTATTAACATGCTTTAAATAATATTTAAATATATTTTTATTGATACATGATAGTTATACAGGAAAATGAGTAGATCTAATGTATTCACTAAAAAAAAATTTTTTTTTTGTGTAAACTAAATATATCTACAAAAAAATAGATATTTCATATATTTTTTTTTATAAGAATATGACTTTATAAAAAAAAAATTATCTTTTATTTATGCAATGATACTATTTTTTTTTTTTTTTTTTGATGTGAAAATCATGGTGTGTATGTTTTTTTTTCAAATTTAGAAAATGTAATATGAAGTACTACATTTATTGTTTAGTGTGTAGATTAAGTTAATAAATAAAAGAGTTTATATTTAATACAAGTTATAAAATAAAAACAATTTATGTAATAAATTATTTTATAATAGAGTTTTTTCCACATACTCTTTATTAATTTGTTTGTTAAATACTACCTAAGTCATTGAACCAGCAATTAATAAATTACTTTTCCATTTATTTAACTAAATGTGACGAAAACAATAATTATAATAACTACAATAATAAAAAAAAAATAAAATAAAATAATCATAAAACTGTATCTCAATTATAATAATTGTAAATTTAATAATAATAATAATAATCCTAATAATGACAATAATAATTTAAGTAAAAAAAATTAATGTGAAATAATATAAAAAAAATGTATTATTAAAACAATAAATAGTATAATATAATTAACTTTTATATCAATTTTGAGGTAATCTATCAGAATAGAAAATAATATAATAATGAGATAAACCTATTAATAAAATTCCATAATAATAATTAAAGTTATAATAATTTGAGTTCTATATTTATAAACTTTATTTCATATAAAAAAAAAAAATAAATAATAATAAAAAATAATATATACAAGATAATATTATTAATTTACTATTAAATCACTTTTATAAAATTTTAAACAAATATTTTGATAAAAATGTTATGGAAA